CGCTCATGACATCATTGAGGTGCTCAAGCTCCAGCGCCCCGACAAGGCGGTGATCCTTTGCTGGAGCAATGATACCTACATTGTTTATTATTTGTGTATCCAGGATAAGGGGAAGGCTTTGGCATACAAACACATGGATAACATTTCAACATTATTGCAATTGGCTAAATATCTGCCTCCGTTTTTTCTAGAACCAACAAAAAGCTTTATTTTCACGTTGCCATATCATTGTACAAAAAAGGAGGAAGGGAAATAAAAGTGAAAAGGGAAGATAACAACACCTTTAAGACTAATTGGTTTTTTTAAAAAAAAAATAGTATGAACTTTCATGAGTATAAAGCAGGCATGGGCAAACTTTGTCCCTCCAAGTGCTTTGGACTTCCACAATTCCTAACAGCCATAGGCTTTACGAATTGTGGGAGTTGAAGTCCAAAACTTCCGGAGGGCTGAAATTTGCCCATGCCTGGTAATAAAGCCACCTCTTTAAATGTAGTATACATTACAGATTGCACCTGAAGAAGTGGATTTACATCCATGAAAGCTCATGCTGAAATATAAACCAGCTAGAGATGCTGCTACATTTCTTCAATTTTGCTCCTTCCACTTCATTCTTCCTTTTTATGCTACAAGAGACTAAAAGGACTACTTCTGTGAATATTACAGCATGTGAGTCTTATGAAATGTTATGTAACTTGAAGGGCTGTTAACTCTTGGATACACAATTTCCTGAAGGGTAGCCATGTTAGTCAAAAACAGTGGAGCATTTCAGTCTCCAAAGACTGACCTAAAAAATATAGCCATTCTGGAACAAAATGACAAAAAATGAAATCTGGCGGACTAAAATTCATTAGACAGTTTTGTTCTTTCATTCATATCTTGAGTTTTTATTATATGCGATGTGAATCAGATGATCACCTGTATTAATTATCTTAGCAAGGTCCAGATGTTTGCATATGAAAACAGTGATCTTCTTAGACAACAATAGGAGAGATTATGGCCAGCAGCAGAACTTCCTGAGAGATTCTAGAAGAACGTGAGATGAGCTACTCATTACTTTGCTTTATCCAACAGCTATTTGCTAGGTTTTTTAACTGCTGCTTTTAGTATTCTGTCAACAAACTTTTGTACACTGCACCAGATGAAACAAACCAAAACCAAGTACTCTAAAATGTTTCTTTCATACACAGTCATCCATCTGTATTTATTTAACCAAAACTTTTATAGCTTAGTCCTTTTGGTGCAGAATACATAGGTTTAATTAAAAGATTCAGCAATTCAGTTAAAGTGATTTGTATCTTAAAATTTGTTTAGAGCAAAGGGATGTAAAGGCCAAGGGCAGTTATTTGCCTTTCTAGAAAGGCTTTTGCTAACTTCCTCTGAAACACAACATTTTTCTCAAGTTAGCTACCAAGCTTTGTAACAGATGCACTCGTTTTAGAGATGAGGAAAGGGTACTGTGAGTCAATTTGGCCTTGAATTTACAGTCAAATTGATGTTTCCTCCCTCTAGTCTTGACATTTCAAGCGGTCATTTCAACAGCAGCATGAAGGACAAACAAAATGTTTCTGTGCTTTTGGTGAAAAAAATCACCTGATTTCTGAGGAGCAAAGTGCTTCTAAAGCAGAAATGAGAAACATTATTTTGAATTGCAGCCCCCATGACTGTGCAAGCTAGGATACAATCCAGCAGTATTTAGAAAACTATGTTGTCTCCATTTTTGTGATAAAGGTAAAGACCAACTATCTTTTTCCCTTGTGCATTGGCAAGTCTGGCACTTATGAGCTCTCCATATGTTGCATTACTTTCCTTATCCTACTCTCCTTATGTTGCACTAAGAGAATCTTTCCAACATGAACACATGTAAAATCGTTTGGTGCATTTGGGTTTTGTTTTTTTGCATCTGATTCCTCTTTGGCTTGGACTGGGAAAATTACCATTGAGTGACAACTTTCAGAATCCTCCAATTGGCCACTGGCCATAGTGACTAAGGGAAACTGAAAAGTTATAATACAAACAGGACACTGTCCCAGGTTCTACTTTTAGGCAAGAGGTGTACAACTGGTTGGAACTAGTTTTCTTTCTCCCACAAGTTAGAAAAGGCACTTCAGTTCTGCGGAGAAATGTACAGGCATTACAGTTGCCAGCACATCTGATGCAAGAATAAAATCTACTTCAGACCTTCCCAATTGTCTCTTTACCTTGTAACTAATTTCTAAACCCCAGCCATGATTCACATTATAAGACAGGATTAAGCATTACGGTACACACTCAGTATCTGCTGGGCTTTGGTTCCAGGACCTTCCATGGATAGCAAAATTTGTGAATACTCAAGCCTCTTTTTTATATTTTGATGGTAAAATCAGTTTCCTCTTGGGAACGTTTTAACTGGGGAATATTTTTGAGCTCTGGCTGGTTGGATCCATGGATATGGAGGGGCAACTGTACTGAAATAATGTATGCTAAATGCTTTGAACAGTTTGAAGTGTTATACAAACATCATCATATATCAGTATTATAAATCCTCTCTCTCGCCAAACAACATTTGCATTTCTTAAGTTTTTCCCATTATAATATTAAAATATTGCTAACCTTTTAAGAATTATTTGCAAATTAATGATAAAAAAACACTTGTGCAAGTAGAGTATCATTATTTATTTTATTATAAATATCATGCAGATATTTACAAATATAAATAGAGCCACTTTGATTGTAACAGCAATGGCGGCAGTCTTGTCATTTTTGCCCATGTGATAGGAAAATGTAGGAGATTTAGGTTCAAATTCTATTGAGTCATGAAGCACAACTTCCTGAGGGCCCTCACATGCTTTAGCCTGAGCTAAAGGCACCAAACAGCTGACCCAGCTATAGTGTGATGTCTTCATGCTTCCTCAGAAGCCACTGTCATGGATCACATGGATGTACATGTATGATCTTTAAGCCAGGAACTCTCCCTCACGTTTCAACTATCTAATGGGGGGACCTCACAGCACTTAAGGCATCATCCAAGGATCTGCATGCAGAGTCAGAGTCAGTCTTCAAAGGTCCATGATACAACAACTTTCCTAAGCTTGGCAAATTTGGGTCTGTTCAGTACTTGGGCATGAAATCCTACTGTCAATGCTTCATGTTCTCCTGAAGGATACAAATCTGATTAATAATTATGCAGCACTGGAATAGCTGGCCTGACTTAAATCCACTTAAATCAGGACTCCTCAATATCTACCAAAATGCCACAGGGAAATTAAAAAACAAAACAAAACAAAACACTTTAACAAAATATAGTTGACAATAAAATCAAAAGAAACACTGTGAAAGCAACACCCTTTTCAGCAAAATAGGTTGAAAATTATGCATCATGTCAATAAGCTTCAGAACTCCAAAATTAATAAAACTTGCACCTTCTCATTCAGAAGGACAACATATCCAAAGTATTCCTTGCCCCTGCCAGTATTTTGGACCTTAACGCTTTGAAGTCCTAGCATGCACTACTAATTGCAAAAGACAATAGGGGAGGTAGTGCAAAATATATGGTGGATGAAACATTATCTATTCCATTTTCCATAATCCTTTGCCATTGGCCTTGGGTTGGAGAGCTGAAGTCAACAAATCTGGAGGATCCAAGGCTCCCTCTTCCTGTCATAAATGATCAAGATTTCCTTTCTTTGTGCATCTATTATGGCCTGAGAGCTTCAGTCTTTCTTCATGCGGAATTTGATTTCCATCTTCAAGAACATTTTTATATTCTCATCCTCTATGTGTTTTTCCACAGCTGCCAATGCCTCCTCTCCACCATCCTGGTAATGCTTCAGCAGCTCTTCTGCGTATGTAATCCACACACAGTTGTGGCATCCGCTCATGCAACAGGTTGTAGGAGGAGAAAGGGTTGAAGGTACATCAAAAAGAGGCTTTGGAGAAGCAGCCTTCTCCTGAGAGTCAGGCCCTTTCTCCATCAGGGAAGCAGCATTTTGGGAAACGTTATCCTTGTCCTCCGTGTGGACGTGACGCTGTCCACTGTCAATGAGCATCGCAGGGAGCCTCTGCACAGTCACTAACCTCTTGTGACAGGATCGGTCCAGAAGCAAGGGCACAGCAGCACTGCTGTCCTGGGGATGCTTGGAGAGACAGAAGCACTCCTAGCAAGAACAAAAACAGTGTTACATACGTTCCAATGCGGTAGTCCCTCTCCGGAAGTCAAACCAGGCCAGGATTTGGCTTGTCAGATTTCATTTACACATCCCCAGAAGTTCTAGAGAAACTTTCAACACAAAGCATTTGTGATAGAGAGCAACAAAAGACAATACAATGCAATAATAATAATAATAATAATAATAATAATAATAATAATAATACAGGCAGTCCCCTAGTTACAGACATCTTACATACCACTTAAAGTTATAGATGATGGGTGCGACAACAGGAAATCTATCTCTAGGGAGGGAAATCACTCCTGAAAGAGTTATCATGGGAAAAATGTGTCTCCGCTGAAGCTTTCTCACCAATCCTTGTTTCCACAACAAGCCAAAATGTTCGAAATCAAATTATCACAGGGACAGAACGTAAAGTTAAATATTCTGAACAGGGACACAGACAACAAAGCAAACACCAAAGGTGTGTTCGCCCTTCCCTATGCTATCCAAAGCTAATGTTCATGTGTGTGTAGAGAGAAAGAGAGATAGACAGAGATATAGGGATGGAGATACACTTTAAAAATGTACCTGTTCCGACTTACAAACAAACTTAGCTTAAGAACAAACCTATCTTGTTTGTAACTTGAGGACTGCCTGCGTGATGCAATAAACTCTAAAATCCAGAAAGGAGTGGTGATACCTTTACTGGACAGTCAAAATACTTGATGTATTCTGTTGTATGCAAACAAGGCTACTCCTGAATATACCTCCTGAATTTAAAGCAAGGTTAGTGAATTTTTGGCTCATCAGCAGCTGGCTGGGTCTTCTGAGAGATGGCCTTGGTGGAGTGGTTCTCAACCTGCTGGTCCCCAGATGTTTTGGCCTTCAACTCCCAGAATCAGAAGGCCAAAGCAGCTGGTAAACTGGATGGGATTTCTGGGAGTTGTAGACCAAAATATTTGGGGACCTACAGTTTGAGAACCACTGCATTGGAGACATCTGCAGAGTCAAAGACTCCTAGCACTTGTGACATTGAACCAACTGAACTTCAGCAAGTCACTCTTTTCTGGAATCCATGAAGTCCCTTCCACACAGCTGAATAAAATCCCACATGATCTGCTTTGAACTGGAACATATGGCAGTATGGACTAAAGACAACGCAGTTCGAAGCAGATATTGTGGGATTTTCTGCATTGATATTCTGGGTTATATGGCCCTGAGATAGTTAAAATCTTCTTATTGTTACTATCATCATAATCATCTCGTAGGGCTATTTTCTTTCATACGTATCATCTTTAAGATTCAGTGCAAAGAAGTGATTTGTGGCTATTAGGTAGTGGCCACTGCACAGAGAATAGTCTCAATTATTAATCCCGCACCTCCTTCATCCCCATTCAGCCAGCTAGCCAGACAGGAAGGCTTGTTGCTTAGTAACTGGCATTTCACATAATACCAGCACTAACCACAGGGAAGGCAAATAGCCACTGATGGCCTTATTCTCCAGGAATTTGCACAACCCCCTTTAAGCACCAATTAAAATACTGAATGCTGCCATACTTTGTTGCAGCAAATTGCATTAGTTGCCTCTGTGAGCATGTCCTAGGCGAGTAAAGGTTGGGAGCTGTTTGAATTGTGGTTGAGGGTGGCATCAACACATTAAGGCCACAATCAGTATTATTATCAACAATATTATTACAGCTATGCAGTTTATAGTTGCCTTGTACAAAAACACAAAATAAAACACAAGAGCCCTGTGCCTACAATGGCCAAAGGCAAAGCCTTATCAACATCACTTTGGGTCTCAATTAAGACAGAAAAGATGGGTATAAATAAATATGGTCACCATTACCATCACCATCTTTATTTATATTCCACATTTTATTTCAAAACTGGGACTCTATTAGTGCCAAGAATGCTAGAAATAGCTTTTAAATCAATTTTATGGATTTTAACTGTTAAATTTGAATCAATATAATTAATGTTTAATTCTATTTCAATGTTTGTATATTTTGGAATGAAATTATTTTAATGTAAGTCGCTTTGAGTCTCCTCTATGGAGAGAAAAAGTGGAATATAAATATAGACATTGTCGTCGTCGTCACAGAAATATTATTTGACCATAGCCTGATTCTTATAAAGACAAGCAAGCTTATTTTCTGCTGCCCTGAAGACTAGGACGCAGACAATGGCTTCAAACTACAAGAAAGGAGATTCCACCTGAACATGAGGAAGAACTTCCTGACTGTGAGAGCCGTTCAGCAGTGGAACTCTCTGCTCTGGAGTGTGGTGGAGGCTCCTGCTTTGGAGGCTTTTAAACAGAGACTGGATTGCCAGCTCTCAGGGATGCTTTGAATGCAATTTTCCTGCTTCTTGGCAGGGGGTTGGACTGGATGGCCCATGAGGTCTCTTCCAACTCTGTGACTCTATAACAAATGACTATAAATGTTGTAATTTTTGTTATAAACCAACATGGCATCCTGATTTTGATTATCTTGGATAATACTGTACAAATTTAGTCATTTGGGAGAGGAATCTATCATTTGAAGATAAGACTTATTTTTAAAGAAATGTCATTTAATTTGACTTCATCTGACTGTTTAATCTGTTAAATCAGGCATGGACAAGCTTCGGCCTTCCAGGTGTTTGGGACTCCAAGTCCCATAATTCCTAACAGCGTCAGGCCCTTTCCTTTCCCCTTTCCCCACTTAAGTGACTGAGGAGGAAAAGGAAAGGGCCTGAGGCTGTTAGGAATTGTGGGACTTGGAGACGCAAATACCTGGAGGGCCGAAGTTTACCCAGGCCTGGATTAAACTTACAACCCATGCTAATATAAATTGCCTTTTAAAATAAAAATAAATAAATAACACATCCTAACAAACAACAACAAAATTCTTGGGTTTGTAAGCATTTATTTCCTGGTGCATTTTAACTGGTGCATCAGCTCTACTTTCTTAGATATTATTATCATGCTTTTCTATGGGTGAGCGAGTATATGGCACATGTTCTGTACCTCAAAACCTAGATGTGATAGGGCAAAATTGGTGCCATTTTTGGAATCAGCAGGTCGAATATACTCAGAAGCGGGGCTAACATCCGAGGCACCAAAATGTGTTGGCCAATGTCCTTCCTCTGCCTCAGGCATGGGCAAACTTCAGCCTACTGGCTGTTAGGAATTAGGGAGTTGTAGTCCAAAACACCTGGAGGGGTGAAGTTTGTCCACGTATCTCAAATGACAAAGAACAAAAATGTATGTATGTAAATCTTAGCAGACTCTCAAGACAGTAATATACAACAGTATTCTATGTTCTCTATTGGCATAACTTGTCTGAGACTTTATAGCATTAAATAAATATGTTATCAGCACATTAACATAGAGAAATCAACAACAGACTAAAGGTAATAGAGTCCATCCTTTCAGTGAAGAAATTCCAGAGTCTCTATCTTTATCTTCAAAAAAAATTCTTCTTTTGATAAGACAGTCTCAAGGAATTCTTCTTGGGCAACAAGGTCTTTCATAGGCAACAAAATCTCAACAAGGTCTTCCGGTATGTTTATCCTTGTTTCGAACAATATCTTCCTCAGGGTGTAGTCTGTATCTTATTATGCTTAGTGCACTAAATAAGGAGTAGAAATAACATACAACATAGATACATGAAACTCCCCAAAATAACATTGATTAGAAAAACATTTTGTAATAACAGTAAAGATACACGCTACTCTACTTACATTCTCTTCAGTAATACAGGTTCTGTACTACAGGCTCTGTTGTGGTAGGAGTTCTGTAACGAGCAGTGAGTCATAGCTGGGCTGTCTCTTAAGTAGAATTACATCTCACAAGAAACAAGTGTATTCAATTTTATCATTTAGTCCTAGAGGAACCAGTGTTTGTAGTTTGAAGATCCAAAAAGATTCCCTTTGCAGAAGGAGTTTTTTTGTATCTGCATTAGGTCTGGGTAATATTTTTTCCAAAGCGCAAAATTTAAAGCTATGGTGTGTATGTGCTTTTTCATTAAAATGTACATATAATGAAGAGTCAGTGGACCCATTCCTAATGCGTGAACGATGTTCATTTATCCTAATTTTAAGGGGTCTAGTAGTTATTCCAACATATAGTAATTTGCAGGGGCATTCTAACAGGTACACTACATTATCACTGAAACATGTTGTCAAATGTCGTAATGTGACATTAATATTGAGTGTTGGATGAGAGTATATTTTACTCTTAAGTGATTGCTGGCAGCAGTTACAGTGTCCACAGCTAGTGTGACCCCTAGTGGTAGGTTCATGGGATGTATTAGGAGTGTTATATTCAGAGTGGATCATAAGGTCCCTTAAATTTCTGGATCTTTTATGGGCAATTATAGGTTTGTCTTTGCATCCAGGAATGTCCTGTAGTAAATGCCAGTGTTTTGAAATAATCTTAGTGATCTTGGATGAATATTGTGTCAGTGTCAAGGGCCATATTATGCGGTTGTTATGTTTTCTAGGGCGTTCCTGTAGTAATTCACCTCTGTTGATGGAGTTTGCCTTGTTCATGGCTGTGTTGAGTATGCTATTAGGGTATCCTCTCTCTCTGAGTTGTTTTTTCAGGATACCTGCCGTAGATTCAAAGTCCTTTTGTGTGCTAGAATTACGTTTCAGTCTTAAAAACTGAGAAAATGGTAAATTGGATTTAAGAGAAAAGTGATGAAAGCTGGAAAAATGTAAAAAGGAATTCTTGTCTGTAGGTTTACTATAATTTTTCACTAATAGTTTCTGACCTTTTTTGAAAACCATGACATCCAGGAAGTTAACATTAGTAGGGCTATAGTGGTGTGTAAATTTCATGTGTTTATGTAGTGTATTAATCCAGCTGTAGAATAGGTCAGCTACTGACTGTGATCTCACTACTGTAAATATATCATCTAGATACCTTCCAAAATAAAGGATATCTGAAGAAAATGGATTCTTAGTGGTATTAAAGATGAATTTATTTTCTAAGTATGCAACGAATAAATTGGCTATAG